GTGCCAACAGGGCCACCCACAAAGTGAATTTTGGTTGGTTCATCAGGATATGGCCAGGATGGGCAGCTTTAAAGTTGGCTCCACTGTGCACCCCTACCCCATTCTCCACTTCCTCTTAGGTGGAGGAATACCTTTTCTCATCAGCCGTTAGAGCAGTCTTGTGACTTCTGTCAGTGTTCAGCAGAGCACTGGATACAGCTTTTAGGAGGCTCTTCATTTTGCTCTAGGAGGATGCAGACCCCTGACCTCTGTATAGATAGTGCTGATTGGACCTGTGTTGATCACATGCACTCTCACAAGAAAAAAAAAAACCTCTCTAGCAATACACACCAAACTGAGCATGTACAGAGTTTCCGCACGATAGGTCTTATCAGGAGATAAGAGGGGGACACTGGAATAAGGGGTAGGATCATAGAAGACAGGATCAAACAGCATGTTTACACAATGCAAAGGATTAGCCCCTTAGCTTCCACAGTGAATATAACAAGCATGCTTTACTGCACATACAGACTGATTTTACGGTTGTGGGTTTAGAAACACTTTAAGGCCAGGGCTGCTTTAAATAGATATAAACCTTAATAGCATGACATTTAGTTTGTTAAAGTTTGTTTTTATTGTCCTCCTCTGCATCTCAGTGCTGCTGATCTCCTCCAGCTTCTTTCAGTCACTTCCTATCTACATGCACTTGCTCCAGCGTCGGCAGCACAGTGCTCATTGCCTGCACACTAATGGCACTGGACCAATGGCTGTGCAATATGTGTCAGCCTTATAGCGTCCACTGGGACGGTTTGACTAGGTGACAACGCAGGAGCACAATTGTGAGACAGTTGTCACCCCTTAAAAGGAAGCACCTGAACAAGGGCTTTCAATGTCAGACCACCAGATATTCTTTAAATAAGGGCTGCAGATTGGAAACTATCTGAAAAATGTTAGAGATTTTATTGATTAGGTTTAAATCTACTTTAATACGCATGTGCTGCCTATCTATCTAAGCTGTTGGAGATCCTGAAAGTGAGACAACCCAAGGAATAGCCTCATGGGATGTATAGCAGGCACATGGAATGTTCTAGCTGTACCTCTGCCCTGAGTGATGGACTGAGGGCTGGTTGACACCATAGAAATGAAGTCTGGATGTGCTCTGGGAGCGTTTCTGCATGCACTTTTTACATGTTTTGGTGCATTTGTGAAGCGTTCCAGTGCATACACTGTATGTGGTGACAGACATTTTACCGCATTGTAAAATGACGGTCACTGCAGAGACACAGGGATACAATTGTTTCCTATGTGTCCCATTTACACAGCGTGCTGAAATAAAATGCAGACATACTGCATTCGTATTGTAATGCCCCAGACCGTATCACACTGCAATGTCAAGCAGTGTAGCGCATTGCAAACCCTGACATTGCAGTGAATGAAGCGCAACTTTTCTACACTTAAAAAAAAAAAAAACAATTTGTAAAAAAAAGGGGATCGGTGCGATGTGATTAATTGTGCATCACACATCAGTAACAGAGAGAGGGCAGAGCTGTGAAAATGTCCCTTTAAAAAGATTTGTGCATTTTTGGTGTGTTTAGGTGTGTTCCGATGCGTTTTTGACCTGTTTTACCACATTCCGGTAAAATTCAGTGCTGAAAAAAATCCAGCATGTTCTATTCTTTTTTCTGGAATTGGAACACACTTGAACTGACCACACTGGTGTGAACTATGCCGTTGGAAAACAAATGACCTACTAACCATGATGCAGAAAAAAAAAACGCACTGGACTGCATGTGGTGTGAACTGGCCCTGAATCTTTATTTAGCCCACGAAATGGCTGCCTTAATTATATATAGATGACAGGTACTCTAAAATGCCGCTAACACAGACTGTGGCTTTAAATACTTTCAGTCACTCAAATGAACACTGTGTGCGCGTGTAGGTATATTATAGAGTATGTATCATTAATATACATGTGTACACACGCGCACACACACGCATGCACACACACTCAGGCGCGCACACACGCACACACACACACACTGCATTGGAGTGGTACGAATTGGACCTTATTGGTTTTGTACAATACACTTGTGAAAATATACATCTTAACAGAATTCAAGTAGAAATGTACAAAATCTGTAAACGCATACAGAATTCTTTGTTTAATTTATAATACACCTTTACAGTTCATAGATACAATAAAATATTTGCAGTTTAACTCTTCTAAGGTTTGATTTTTTTGGCTATTGGACAGTGGTTCATGGTCGGGATGCCTCTTCATCATCGTCGCTGTAGGAAGATTTAAAACAGACCTGTGGGAGCCAGAAATAGGAGACAATAAGCTTTGTAAGCGTTGGATGTTACATATGTACTGTAGATATTTGACACACTGCAGGATACTGGCTTTCATCTACTCTAAATTCCACTGTCAATGGTTACATTCTTGCTGCATGCCGCTTCCCAGGTAATTTTTTCCTGTATTTAGATGTTCCTTCTTCAACCCTTTCTCTACCAAGATGCATTAATAAATATCCTGGTAATCAAGGTGTTGAAGCTAAATTATGGCTGCTGCCCACCCTTTAAGCTAACATTGTAAAATCGCCATATGTAAAGTGAAGTCCCGCTGACTCACCCCCTGCCCCAGCCTTTTACAGTTTGTGAGAGAGCCAGAACAGCAGGGTTGTAGTTGGAGTCAGGTGGAAGATGGACTAAAGGAAGGCACTGGGGTGTGGAGCCTGGGAGAGGGCCCCAAGGAGAGGGGCCTACCTACAGGCTGAAGTAGACAGGAAGATTTCCAATGCCCTACAGTCTTCTTGGGAGGACAGCCTGTCAGCAGGGAAGGAGCCAGCCCAGCAGAAGGCCTGAAAACAGTTGCAACCCCCTCAGCTACAGGACAGTATGAGTACACTCCTTGGGCCACAAAAGGGAGAGGGCAGTCAGGTGCAATACCCAACTACTACTCATCTGGGACTGCTTCATAGTGGATTCTGGAAACCCTTGCCCAGAGACACCCTCAGGACAGCCAGATGGATGAGGAGAGTTTCATCTGAGGTCTGAGGAGGTACACCAAAGGGGACTCAGTGCTCCTTAAAGAGACTGTTGCTGATTTTTTATTCCAGATTTTGTACGGTGTTTTCTAAGAAATTGTCCTCAACTTTTACAGTTCCTTGGCATCCCATATACCCCTAGACCCCATCCAAGTTAACCCCTAATAAAAACAAAAACAAGCTCAAGGACTGTTTTATTCTGGGAAAAAGTGTGGAAAAATGCATGTTGTCTGGGTGTGCAGAACCTAAAGAGACCCAAAAATCCAGTGGCCCTCAAGGGGGTAGCGTTACATGAGCATACTCAGTAGAGGACACCAGCTGGTCTACACAATCTCAGCTGAAGGCAGGATCAACCAGAAATATTTCACTCTACACAAAACGAATGCTTTAGTGGCTCTGTGAGTATGCACACTCTGTTATATAGTATGTAATGAGAATTTTTCATAGCCTGGGTTTAATCACACTTTAAAGGCTAATTCCACCTTTAAGACCATGTTACATCTATGTTCAATGTGTAGGGGTTTTCTACCCCGCAGCAGAAGTCCGATTTGAAATCGGTAAAGCTGTGCATGACTCTGTCCGCACAGCTACGTCATTCATTCACATAGATCTATTATGTCCCATCTACCACCATGGCAGAGGGACTTGTAGTTCTCAATGGAACATGGGGGTGGTGATCACCACATTGTTAGATCATTGACACTTCCTCCAGCTCTCAAACTAAAATCCGTACCTCAGTACAGACTGAGCTTGAGGAAGAGCCTGCATGGGCCTTGCATTGCATCTGTGATTCAAAAGATCGTGGTTGGAATGCATTCAAGGCTCATTTGCAAAAAGTGGACTTGGCCTTTAATGTATGGAAAACTGCATTGGTCCCCATCCTGTGGTTCACAAGTGGCTCCCAGATTTGTGACCTATTTTTAAACATTCCATAAAAATCAGAAAATTCCCAAATCAATCTGAATATTATTTTCATTTCCACTATATTTTACCCATAGTTATGGTGTCATTAAAAGTCAACAAAAATAGTAACAGTCCTAAACTAATCCACATTAATCAGGTAAGTGTTATTGTGCACGGCAACTTCAGGGCGCAATATAAGTTTGGCCTCTAAAATTACTCACAGTTCACCAACAGGCACATTTGATCTGCATTTGACTTCTGTCTAAGCTTTCCCAATGACCGGTATTTGGTGAGGAGAAGAAATTCTGACCCCAACAATTTACTTTCCATCTGTGCTCTATTGGGGAGACTTCCCTTCACTTCCTGTCCCATAACCAGAACAGGAAGTGAAAGGAAATTCCTCCAAAGTGAGGGAATCTCTGCTTGTCACCAAAACAAGTGCACCCATTGGAAGATTACCCTCTTTTCCTGTTCTGGTGTTCACTTTCACCTTTAGTAACAACAGTATTTAGTAACAAAGTGGGGCAGCACAGTGGCTAAATGGTTAGTACTTCCACCTGGCAGCACTAGGGTCATTGGTTCGAATCCCAGCCATGGCACCATCTGCCTGGAGTTTGCATGTTCTCCCTGTGCCTGCCTGGGTTTCCTCCGGGTACTCCGGTTTCCTCCCACACTCCAAAGACATGCTGGTAGGTTAATTGGATCCTGTCTAAATTGGCCCTAGTATGTGTATGTATGAATGTGAGTTAGGGACCTTAGATTGTACACCCCTTGAGGGTTAAGGACTGATGTGAATGTACAATATATATGTAAAGCGCTGCGTAAATTGACGGCACTATAGAAGTACCTGAAATAAAATAACAGTAAACAGGACAAATTGAGTGCATAAATCTTGCTTACAGGTGGCACAGAAAGCAATAAAAACCTGACAGGGATTCTAATCTCTCTATCCAAAACTAAAACTAAAGAAAAATATCTTGCCTTTAAGTATACATTAAACCTGGCCTTACTAAGCCGGCAGTTCACAGACACATCTGAATGAATAGGGAGTCTGTATTGCCAGCCAGTAGTCTATTTTTTAGTAACCTGTAGAATAAAGAGTTTCCAGTAAATCCAGCACTGTAGAAAGCAGATCCCTAGAACATTTCTTACCCCTCTTCTGAACAATCGATGAAAGAAGCTTCTCTTTGGTCTTATGTTCTGTTTGCTCACATCCAGATCTGGCGACAAGCAGCCGTCCGTCTCATAAATATTGATGTCTTTAAAACACTCTGTTTCAATCATCTGTAAAAGGAAAGAGAAGAGAAGACCTTTCAGGACAATCATCACTGAGCAGGTGGAAGGCAGATACTGAGGTCATGGTCAACCCCACAGAGCAGAAGACAACCTAGCCTTGCGCAGACTGTGAAGGTTCTCATGGATCCAGGTCATGGTATGGCTAGAGATAGTCACATTCATTTGGACTTGTTCTGTAATGTTGAACATGATTCACTACTCAACCAAACAGGTTTCTTAATTTATTAGAACTCAGGAAGCCACGATGAGCAATGAAAAGTCTCCAATATTACATAACATGTCCAATGAACGTGACTACCTACCAAAGCCAGTGCTACCACCAAGTGGACTAGGCAGCCACCTAGGACACAGCCATGGCCGCTGGTTTCCCTACTCTGCTGCTTGTGGAGAATTGTATGTTTTACCTCTGGTTTTATGTTAATGGTTCTTTTTCTACTTTAATTCAATTGTTGCCACTCTTGGTTGGCCTGTGGAATCCTTGCATCTCTCCATCCACGGCTCCAGACCCACACTGGCTGATCCTTAGGACAGGGAAGGACTGACCATGACTATTATTGATGATAAGCAACATTTTATTTCTTTCTTGTGTTCAACACTGCTTGCTTATTAAATTGGTCTTTTAATACTTCACTTAGTGGTGCCTTCCCCTGTCTTTTTCCTGTCTTTCAAATACAGAGCTGGCATACTCGGATGATGCATGCCGCAGATGTTCCTGGTTTCTAATGGACTTTTGAAAAAAATTGAATTTTTTTTGTGGGGGGGAGGGGAGGTTGCAAATAGCTGGTCTTGCCAAGGGCGCAAAATATTCTAGCACCGGTCCTTCTAACTACTAGTGGCGCGCCCTGTGGCTCTACCCTCACACCTCTCAATACTCTTCTTCTAGCTCATGACAAGTAAGTCTCACTAGAAAATGGTAATGGTTCCTAAATATATTTCACATTGTTGTGGGAGGCCTAAAGTGGGCCATACGCTATGCAAAATTTGCTTTGTGGGTGGCCCTGGCAGCCCCCTCCCACCCTACATCCTTCAATTAGAAAATTGAAGGAATCAGGTGGAAAATTGGCACCAAACAGCAACTGCATCCAATCAGATGCAGCTGCTATTCAGGTATTCTGAAAGTCACTGCCGCCTGTCAGAATACAATGACCCCGCAGGGAGATTTCGCCCATCTGCACTATATAATGTTGATGGAGGAGTCTTTTAGATTTATTTTATTCAGCTTTCAGGCTATCAGTGTATGGTCAGCCTAAAGGTAAATGCCCCTTTAAATAGCCCTTTAATTTCTGATACTACGCTGACTCAGTGGCACTTACCCTTGCACAGTACTGTGTCTACAATTACCAACCTTCTTTTGGAAATGTTAATTGCCTGGCTTCTTCTGCAGGTAAAAAAAATGTGCATTTATTATTATTTGCTTCTGGAGCCTCTAAAGCATTGCACCAGTGATCAACAGATCACTGGTGCCATACAGGTCTCCTCCTGACCTGTCAGTGTATCTGCCGGCTTGTACATCCCGTATTGGCAAGCAGATACTTACTGACAGGAAGGCTCAATTAACTGACAATTAATGGCACTATGGAGCACCGTGGTAGTTAATTGAAAACTACAAGCTGACAGCCACAAATGCTGCTGGGACTTGTAGTTTTCCCATTCACAGAATACTGTGAATGAGTGATGCAGCCGGGCAGGCAGAGCCCCACACAGCATATCAGCTGCTCTCCATTACTGTTACTCCCTTACTGTCCAGTCACAGGCTCTGGACAGGGGAGTGATCAGGCTGTACTGCATATCTACAGCACAGTAAAGACAAGTCACCAGCTTGGCTGTGCTGTAAGACAGGACTGTGTAAATCTCAGGACTGGATAGACAGAAATACAAATCCTTTGGCAGGAAAAGCAGATCATTTATCTGTATTTCATTTCTGTATTTAGATAGTATATGTGAGTTCAACTGTATTCAAGATTGGCTATTAGAAAAAACAAGGATGAAGGGTTACAACGCGTACAGTAAATGTCAATATAACTGCAATACCTCTTGCTGCCAAGGGATGGGGACACTGCCTGTCACAAACTTGGAGTAGAAATCATCATCTGTGGTGTCCAGATTTACTCCTTTCACTGTGGAAAACTGCTCAATGTCCAGAACATCCTTACAATATACAGCACGTGGCTGGAAGGTAAGAAAAAGAGAAGTCAGTAACCGTGTTTTGCAGGATTTTGAGCAGAATCTTCTTTACCATTCCTGAAGGAAATGGAAACTAACAGGTATTTAAAAGACAAAGCAAGAAAAAAAATGTAAATGTATTTTTTTTATTTCTAACCAAAATAATTAAAAAAAATAAAATATATGGTATGCACTAACATAAAACTATACATTCCCTTTAAAATGGTTGTAAATGAAGGGTTTTTTTTTTTAACCTTAACGCATTCTCTGCATTAGGTAAAAAAACCTTTTGTGATCAGGATGGAATGCACATGGTCTACATTTGGGAATCCACACTTACATGGATGTCAATGTGTGTATAATTAAAGGGCAATTTTTTGTTTACGTGGCAAATATGTCATACTTACCTGCTCTGTGCAGTGGTTTTGCACAGAGCAGTCCCGATCCTTCTCCTCCTCCAATGGCTCTCACTGCTGCCCAGTCAATTAGGAGGAAGAGTCCCCAGAGAGCTGAGGCTTTTGTGTACATTGCTGGATTGCAATGAGGCTCAGGAAAGTATTAGGGGGGGGCTGGGAGGATGCAGCACACAAAAGGTTTTTTTACTTTCTTGCACAGAATGCATGAAGGTAAAAACCTTGAGCCTTTACAACCACTTTAGGTACGGCCCGCAAGAACAAGACCAAACACTGAAAATGTCATCAGTCAGGAAACCCTTTTAAAAGGTTCTCCCTGATAAGCATACAGGGTCCTGACCATCCAACATTCTGGAGGAAGAACGACTTACATCTGGAACAAAGGGTGGATCCAGCATATTGGCTTCTAGACGCTTGAAGTTGATGTTCCTGAATATCGGATTCTGCTTTACACCTGCTGCTCCATCCCCCATACAGCCCAGCCTCTGCTTGGGGTCCTTTGTCAGTAACTAGGTGGAAAATGAAGACACAGGGCATGCTCATTAGTCACCAAAAGATTCAGAACATTGTGTCTCTATGTATGTGTGTGGTGGTTAAACCTACTATATAGTCGAATTTGAGAAAACCGCGCTATATGTTTGCTGTGTGTTCCCATTCACACAACAGATCTTAAAAAAAAAAAACCCAAAACAAAAACAAAAAAAAAAAACCCCCAAAAAAACAAAAAACTGTTACCCCCATAGTTGTCTCTTTGGAGCAAGCCTTTGAGGAAGCTGCAAGCTACTCTGAACAATTTCAAAGTGAAAGTAGAGGGACAAAGGTGGGGGCAAACTGATATTTCCCTCATTAAATACGATGCAGTATCCAAACCTTGAGCTCTCTACAGCTGGCCATACAAATGTAGATTTTCGGACGATATTTGTATGAAAACTCTTTGAACAATTGGTGAATGGACGAAATGTCGTTCGAAAATTGTCTTTTGTTTTTAACATTCAAGTTTAAAAGTGATGTAATTTCTGAACGATAACCACATATTCTGGCCAAAAAATTTGTTTGATCGAGAAAAGTTTTCCTTCCTGCCCGTTCGAATTTTCCCATCACTGCAGTCGAAATTAACATCAATTTGACCCCACTAACGATTAGAAAATCAAACCAATATTCTGAAATGAAAATTCTTGAATGAAAATTTATACGTGTATGGCCAGCTTTAAACTTTGATAGAACAGACTGTGTTCAAATCTACTTTACAATACAACTTACAAAACTGAGATCTGCCAGCACAATACTGATAGGGTTAATTATGGGAAACCTCATTTTTGGAGTTTTGGATAGAGTGGAGAGGGATTAGAACGCCTGTCAGTTTTTATGGCCGTCTGTGTCCCCATAGGACATAGGAAATCCACCCTCTCTATTTGTCCTGTTTACCATTATCATTGAAAGTAAAACAAAATCCCTAACTTTGGGTTGTCCTCAGAAAAGTAAGCAAGGAAATATTCCACTGGGGACACTAGTTCTGGTGACCAGGGGGTCCCCAAGGAATTCCCTGAATTTGGGTGATTAGGCCAAGCATGTCAGAAAGGACTGAGAAAAATACACCTATCAGTTAAAGCAGAGTTCCACTCACCCTGTCAAAAAATAAAAGTCAGCAGCTACAAGAACTGTAGCTGCTGACTTTTAAAAAACAGCCACTTACCTGTCCCTCGGTGTGTGTCCCGCAGCTCGTTTCACCAGCCATCCTGGATTCCAGGAGGCCGGCATCTTCAGTGTGGGCACCCGGCTGTGATAGCTTGTGACTTCACAGCCGGGTACCCACTGCACATGTGCGAGTAGCACTGCGCTTCATGAATGGTCCTTCCGATCGCCTAGGCAATCGAACCAGAAGTGGGAGCGGGTACCTGTCAAATTTGGGTACCCGCTCCTCCCCCGCCCCCCAAAGGTGCCAATCCTTAATGGGGAGCAGTCCTTAAAACGGAACTTCACCTTTGGGGTGGAGCTACACTTTAAAGAGTAACTGCACTTTTGTTGAGAAAACAACAATCTCCTCTGCGGTGATCAACGTACATTGCAAGCATTTGAACAAACCTGTTTCAGCTCTGTCTTGTGCAGGACTGATTCTGAACAGAAGTGACTTCTTCATTAAAGCAACTGCTGCACTTTCGGGGTTCTAATAAGAAAATCTGCATCCATTTATAAGTGAATAACCATTTGGGAATATCCCACCAAAAAAGACATTTTTGCTGTAGAGGATTCCTAAAATCTGACTTGTATCTTAATGCAGAATTCTTCACACAAGGAGCAAATGACATTTCTGGGGAAGTTGTGCGTACTAACTGTGTACAGAACGCCTCCATGTTGCCACAGTGTATTGATTTTAAGAGAATTGCAGCAGCTGCAGATTGCAAAGGAAAGGTAATTTTTAATTGCATTAAAATGTGGCTTCAGTAGCATCTGTATATATATATATATATATATATATATATATATATATATATATATATATATATATATTCCCCCATTACATTATATTTCTAGACTGGGATTCCAGCGCTGGTTGTTTTTGGTACTGGGCTTTTGGTGTTGAGAACAAATGAAAAATTGTAAACCACCCTATGAAATCTATATTCAGCGTGAAGGGAGAGTATAATGATTGTTGGTCGATTTTATTTGCCAATTTTTTAAAGTTTTCAAGCTTATAAAACAATGTACTACATCTTTTAACTATTGTATAACGTTTTCTTTGGCTTCTTCTCACAATGCAAGTCTTTTGTTGGCAAAGTTATTGAGAAACATGTGAAAAATGATATGGCCAATATCTTAACAGATGCCACAAAAAAAAAAACTACGAAAAAATCAAAGTTGGAAAATGGTTAAAAGTCATAATAAAAATGTAAAGTGAACATTACAATAACTCAAATTGTGTGCTTACTGAAAATATTCAATACCTTCTCAGTAGGATGTTGCGTTCTGTACTAGCAGAGAAGGAGAGGCTGTATACCCTTCCTTCTGAGGTATTCGGTTAGCACAGATCATATAATATTTTCAGATTATTCTTTAAACATATAAGAGATCAACTTCATGTAAATAATGTTACCTGTAAGGTTTTAAAAATGTTTCCATGTACACATTGGGTATAGAATAGCATCACCCCCTTTTAAAATAATTACATTTTGTTGCTCTGCAGCCTGAAATGAAGACAGACACAGTTTTTGTTTTCTCCAGATGTATTTAGTCAATGTATAACATCCAAGTGAAATATATAACACCAACATGTCAGAAAAAAAATTAAAAAACAGAATCGCTGAGTCACAGTTGAAAGGCAAATGGCTTTGTATGCCATTAAGAAGAGGATTAGCTACACCTAATTAAGTTTACAAGTCATTTTTAGGAGGGGGGGTGATCCTTTTTCAACTCAACGATTCAGTTTTTGAATTTTAATGTTAATTTTGAATACATTTTTTAATTTCCTCTCTGACATGTTGCGGTTATATCTTTCACTTGGGCGTTATAAGTTGCACTGAGTAAATACAGCTGGATAAAACAAAAACTGTGTCTGTCTTCATTTCAATGTGATTATTTTAAGGTGGGTGGGTGATTCTTTTCTATACCCACTGTAATTTGTAATTATATATCTGTACATACATGGTAGAATCTGTATTTGTTCCCTATAAATTTCTGGCTCAGCTGAGTGGATGAAAACAATGCACTATGTATGTATTTACGTGGCTGATTTGGAATTGAGATATTTGGTTTAATACACTATTTCCTGCCTAAGCTCTAGGGGTGCTCAGGAACACAGAGAACCCAGTTCTTCTTCCACAGTCCATAAATTCCAACTTATATCAGAAATGTCTTACAGGGATATCTGAATGCGGACTACAGATAGATAGAGGGTAGGTGACTTAAAAGCCATCAGTATTGCAATCTAACCTTGTCCTGCAAGTCAACCCAACATTTAAAGATTTTTGGATGGTGCTTTGTTCCTTGATTTTATCCAACCCACCCAATGCAATTTGTCCCCGAGGGCAAGGGACCTGACAGGCATCAGATTTTAGCATCCATGATGATGGCCAAATATCTACGATACATTGGTTAGTCCATAGTGTGTAACATCTAGGACAATAGAGGTGATGTACAATAACCATTTCCAGGTCCCAGCGCAGTCTTCCTTTTGTCCTTGAAAGTCCATGCCAACCCAGTTATCAGAAGTGACGGTACAAACATCATTTTTGGACAAAGGACTGTTCATATATAGACAACTATACTCCAGGTTTAGGACTTGGCTGCACTTGGGGAATGATCCACTAGCCACACAACAAACCATCTGCTTTCATTACACCCACTTTTCTGTCTGCACTTACCATCCTGCAGATAGATTTGGCATCTTCTGAAAACTTCTCAGAATATTCCTCTTCATCGTCCTTCACTCGCCGGTCTACCTCTTCCCTCTTCACCTTCTCTTTCCTTTTCCTAAACGGAGACTGACCCTGGATCATTTCATAAATAAGGCAGCCGAGCCCCCACCAGTCGGGGCTAAAAGTGTAGCTTTCATTGTTGATGACCTCTGGGGCTGCAGACAGAAGATTCCATGTTAGAGGCCCTTGTTTTATTATCAGTAGATTATTTTTACATACAACATTATAATAATATTAAAGACGTCTCATTTTATTATTAGTCTGTTTCTCAGGGGAAGAAGTACAGTAGTATTTTGTCCCATCTTTCTATGTGCTATCTAAGACTAGCTGTGAGATCAGACCATTCCTCCTTCCACCAAATGTCCAACAACGTAGCTAGCAAGGAGATAGCTGTTTTGACAGGAGGCACTTTTATCCATCTCCAAGCACTTGCTGGCTAACCTGGGAATGACAAGCCCTTTTTTCTGTGACTCCTGTCTTGAGCAAGTGCTTGGAGAAAAAGAAGTGTCATCTGTCAAACAGCTGTCTCCTTACTAGCTGCATTGTCGGTCAACTGTGGAGGGAGGAGGGGTGCCCTATCCAACCTCACAATGAGACAACACTTAGGATGATGTGACCAAATACTACACATACTTTTCCCCCTGGGGAACAGAATACATTATTAAAAGGTGAAGAGAGAATTATTCTCTAATAAGAATTACATTTCAAATATTTCTACTGTTAAACTCTCAGGATAAAAAAAAAGCTGTTCTGTTTGATTTGCCTGCCCCTCAACATGCAGGAAATGGCTGCTGCTCTTAGGAACGAAGCACATTCCAACTTAACCTGCAACAGAAAGCAACACTGGAATCTGAAATATAGACACCTTCTTTCAGTTTTAAATTTATCCTACTATTTAAATACGGGAATTATTTAATCATCTTTTAAATGATATATATTTTAGATAGAATACTAACAAAATAAAAAAAGCTTTTAATTATCCTGCTTACATTAAAAAACATCTTTCATCGCACATAGCACATAAAGACCTGTCTGCCATCCGGAATCCAGGAGAGTCCTAATCGCAAATCACGGCCGATATTCTGCCCTCTCCAAGATGGCCGCCACTCTACTTCCGGTATTCTCATATGCGTCTGACGTCACCTCCCTTTGACGCGTTTCGTCATTGGACGTCATTGGGCAATTTATGATTACGCCCAATGACGAAACGCGTCAAAGGGAGGTGACGTCAGACGCATATGAGAATACCGGAAGTAGAGTGGCGGCCATCTTGGAGAGGGCAGAATATCGGCTGTGATTTGCGATTAGGACTCTCCTGGATTCCGGATGGCAGACAGGTCTTTATGTGCTATGTGCGATGAAAGATGTTTTTAATGTAAGCAGGATAATTAAAAGCTTTTGATCTTAGTATGTGGCAGTATCACGCTATGATTTGTTCCTTGTATATGGGTATCTGGCTGGCGTATATGGTGGAAGCATATCTCAGTTGCTAGGGTGGAAGGATCCACACAAAGCAAACCCTGAGGACATCTCTAAAAGGATTTATATCACCAGACAATTTTCTGTGGATTGAGATCAAAAATATAAATTTCTTCGAATATTGGTAAGGGTATCCATTCCTTACCCTGATAGAAGTGTGCACCTGTGTCATGAGTTTTTAGCACAGTAGAGTGTTTCACATGCATGGTTTTGCACAGTACATCGCATGTGTATGTGGTTTGATATATACACGTGTTTTCACTTGGGTGAATATTATTGGATTGATTTTATATGTAAATTTTTATTTATAAAGGATAATGCACTATGTATATTTTTTTGTTTTTTTGAGGTAATCAAGGTTTTGCAAGCAGTGGAGAGTTTTTTACACTTGAATCAATTTTTGGACTACACGTATTTATTTATTTATTGGACTTTAATTTGAAATTGGACTTTAATTTGAAAAATTATAGATTTTGGATTTTTGAGATTATTATAATAAGAAAAGTTCTTTTATTAATTATCACTGAGCATATTTTATTTATATTTGTACACCTTTAAGGGTAGAGGTGAAGTGTGCTTATAAATAGTTGGGAAAATTAGTGTTTTACATTTAAAATAAAAAAAACCCTTCCCATGTGGAAAAGTCAAGTCCCATACAGTACAGAATGACTTTGTTGCGATTTTCCATGTAATGTGTGCTTGAAAGTGATACGTGAATTCACAACGTCGCTACAACATAATCCGAAAAAAATGATTATGTGCTTAAAATATAAATCCGTGTTTCTATGTTAAGCTGAACACCCAGGCAGACTGCTAATACCGTCCTGCTAAAGCTAATTGAATATTTACTTATTAATCAGTGGAAATGACTAGCAGGAGAAGTCTTTCAGCATTAATATTTTACTGGGCAGAAGAGCAGGAAAATCTACCGCACAAATTCCAGCATCGCTGAATTCTTTTTCTCCTCTAAATCACATGGGTAGCTCACAGATTTTAAAGAGGACATGAACTCTGGAAGCTGTGACCCACAAAAGGCAGACAGAGGGTAAGGGCCCTTTCACACTGATCAGTTTTTGATGCGCTTTTGATGCCTTCACATTGATTGACAATGGACAGATGTTTTTATATGTGTATCTTTAAATTCACATTTATCTATTATGGATATATATTTTATTTTTTTATTTTATTTTTCTTTATTTTTATTCCATATTGGGGGTTGGTGAGGTTTTTCTTCAAAATATATTTTTTGAGGCTTTTGATGTTGTCACCCAGCACGCATCACTTTATAGGAGAATTATCCCCCTCAATAGGGATTCACTTATTTGTCACTTTTTTGTTTTTCCATCTGGCTATTTTAGCCATTGTCATCATTATTTTGAGAGTTATTGGTCCCAGTTTAGGGATATGTGATTTACTTGTTTTTTTCACATTATTTCAGTCCCATTTGGACTTTTTGGTTTCACTTTTTTCCTTTTTTTCCAATCACTTTATGGTTTTCACTATAGATCCCTGAGAGGATCAGTTCACTTTTTATTATTCACAGTGTACATATATAGTCAAGCATGAATTATTATTGAAAAATTATTATTGTTATATTTATGCATAATAGGTATTTAATTAGGAAGCGCTGCAGCAGTTTATATAATATAGTTTCATTCTAACATCCATTGGTATAGGGTTGGGTGCTAGAAGCTCTCCATGTTCATTAGCATTGTCCACTTAGGAGCGCAGGAGGTTCATATTATAACTGTTTATATTCTGCTACATGTCTTTGCTAAAAAAAAAAAAATCCCAATACATGTAAATTAATTGGTTTACGTGAAAGTTTTAGTGTCTACAAATGCGGTATATATACTGGAATTTAAATTTTTTTTTGTACTAGCAATGGCACCGATCAGCGGCTTATAGCGGGACTGTGGCAGGCATTCTGACACTGGGTGGGAACTAACTGTCACTAAAATCCCTAGTGAGACTAATACAGTGATAATAAAAAGCACTGGCACTGTACTGACACTGGGCAGGAAGGGGTTAACATCCAGGGCAATCAAAGGGTTAACTGTGTGCTGTGTTTTACTAGGCAGACATGCTGTGCAGGGAGATAAAAAACAGCATGTCCATGCTGACAGGAGAGACACCTGCGTTGTTTACACACACAGGTCTCTCCCGTCAGCTTTCCCCGATGATCGCAGAGTGCTGGCCGGGAATCGCCAGCTGGGACCCGGTGATTGACATCTCTAGCCGCCAACAGCGGTGTGTGGGTAGGGCGGAGCGCGCGCACCCCCTACCCGGAAATGCAAATCAGTACATCTGCTATAGGGCGGAGGGCAAGTGGTTAAAGATTAGAGAAAAATGGTGATACACCGTATACTCTAGCTCATTTTCAGGACACCATGAATATGCCCCCTACTGAGCTTTTTACGAACCAAGCTTCATTTAGTGCCTGGCTCTCCTACATTGACTTCATTTGAGCTATCCTGCAGGTCAAGAGATTGGCCCAGGCGACTGGTCTCTACCATTTATTTTTTCTAATATATCTTAACTGTAAGCTTCCCTACATGACATTTTTGGGAGTGGGATTTGAAGATCTCCTGGGATTTGTTTAATTGGCAGGACTTGTCTAAGACTTTGATCAATACTATCTTGATAGAGAATCTAATTCTAAAACCCTTCTACGCTGTTATTTATTACCAACTAAGATAGCCAAAATGCACCCATCTGCCTCTCCAAACTGTTTTTGCCAATGTGGACAGCCAGGAATAATGTTTAATGTGTGGTGACAATGACCCAAGGTGTCCTGGTTTTGGATAATAATTTTTAACCTCATATGCTTGGTCATGGATGTCAATTTTACTTGGGCCCCAGAAGCAGCTTTGTTCTGAAATTAGACTCTGATATTCCCCGAAATTGCCTAAAAAGCTCATACACTATATTCTGTTGGCAGAAAGAATAGCAATAGCGCGTTGTTGGAAGACAGCTGTGCTGCACTTAGAATATGTTAAACATAAACTGAACTAGATTATGGTGAATGACAAACTCACCCGTACCCTCCATAATAATGCCACAAAATTTCAGAAAACCTGGGACCCCTGGATTCAGTACATTTTTCTTGTGGACTGAGAGTGGATGGACCTTCCTTCTTTCCTCTTATTCTTACTTCTCCTCTCTTTCTGTTGCAATTGAGCCAACTGTATCCTAATGGACACTAAGTGTGCTATGGTGCCTTAGAGGCTCCCGTTTTTTTTTTTTTTTTTTTAAGCATAGGACCACCTATACCTTTATTATTCTATGTATGGTCCTGTTAGGCCTTGATAAGTTCCAGTCTATTCCTGGCACATGCAATATGATGGCCGCTTCTACTAATGTGATGTTCAACCTGCTCACAGGGTGCCCTTTCTAGGAACAAAATGATCCCTGACACTTACATAATATACCCTTCTCTCTATTCATAGGAGACATTCATTTTTGTTCAATTATATATTCTTAGTTCTCTTTGTAACCACAACACTTATGGAACATATGATTTGTACTGTTGAAAATTTTTTTTTAAACAGATTGAAATATATAGATTAGAGGAAACCTGTACTGAGAGAAAAATACAATTTCCTTGATTGCAGCACTTCGAGTCATTGACCTGGAACAAGTATGCAGATTAGAAAGTCATATTGAAGGCAGAAATCCTGATCTACATAGTTGGTGACAATTAAAGTACTGAATATATTGTAGCAACAAGACATCCAAGTAAATAGCATTTTCAGCAGGAGAGATTAACAACGTTAGCAGACTCCATATTCTCTCAGTACAAGTTACCTTGAAGCAGCTGTGTCCACCCTCCTTTCGGTTCTTACCAAGCAGTGTGTGTATATGAGACAGCATGGAGACAAAAGGCTACTGTGATGACAGACAGATGTACTGGCAGTTTACAGACTATTAGAGATGCCTAAATTGTGGTAATCATATTATAAAACGTGTATTTGTATAAAGAAGAGGAATTTCACTACAAATATTAGAAATCAAAAATAAGGCTCGTACCCATGTAGCCCACAGTGCCAACTCTGCCACGGATGGACTCTCCTTCAGGGATTTGCACAGCTAACCCAAGATCGGAGATCCTGATGTGTCCTGTGCAATGAAAGAACATGACATGAGATGGATTCTTACCACAGGGAAAAAGACAAAGTTATACAGCAAGAGAACTAGACAAAGAAATTCTACCACACTGTGTACATATGAAGGCAGATGGAAATATTTATAATATACTTTACTGCACAAACAGGTTTATTTAAAAAAACAACCAATAAAAAACATTTATCAATAACCAGTAAGGTAAATTGTAATCTGACTGTTTTTACGTATAAAAATTCCTGAACAAAATGTGTGGCTGTGTAGATGATCGATAAAAGTAAAATGGGCTGTAGGACAACTGCTTGTCCCTGAATGACTGAGGTGTCACAGGGACTATAGTGATCTGTATCCTGACTCTACATATATGTAGAGAAAGGTGATTTTCCAGGTCCTATCAGAATATTCAGCACGTCATGCAGAAAGTTTGCCATGTCACAACATTCTTTTATGTGACAATCTGAAATGGTTGTTATTGCCCCACCTGAACTGATTGTTTAAAACATTGCTTAAATTTGCTGCATCTTTTGTCTATTGGGCTGTGTATGGCCATCATTATCCATACTAATCAGGTTTTTAAGTCACTGGAACAGATCAAGACTTTTGAATTATTGCATTCTTGATCCAGATCACCGACTCCGAAATTAATAAAGCCTAAGGGTCAGTATGATGACCAGGCAAGCGGCATCTTTAAGAGGGGGTCAACAAAGGCAGCCTACATATTTTTCTTAGGAAAACAAAGGGCCAGCTTACTGTTCTTCAGACTGTAGGGGGAACAGACTGTGGCCAGTGCGGGGGGGGCTTAGAAAATGGCATCAGTGGAGTAAACAATGCCCTGTCTTTAGTAGTAGAGAGAGTAAAAGTGCCATATTGTTGTGGTTAGTGGAAGGAATAGTGCCCCATCCTTGGTATCAGTGAGAGGAATAGTGCACCATCATTGGTGTTCGTGAGAGGAATAGTGCCTCATCGCTATTGTCAGTGGGAGGAATAGTGCCTCATCGTTGGTATCAATAGGAGGAATAGTGCCTCATCATTGGTATCAATATTGGTATATAGGTACCTCCTATTGGTATCAACAGGAAGAATAGTGCCTCATCGTTGGTATCAATAGGAGGAATAGTACCTCACCGTTGGTATCAATAGGAGGAATAGTGCCTCATCCTTGGTATCAATAGGAGGAATAGTGCCTCATCCTTGGTATCAATAGGAGGAATAGTGCCTCATCCTTGGTATCAATAGGAGGAATAGTGCCTCATCCTTGGTATCAATAGGAGGAATAGTGCCTCATCCTTGGTATCAATACAAGGAATAGTGCTTCATTGTTGGTATCAATGGGAGAAATAGTGCCTAATCGTTGGTAACAATGGGGGTGGGGGGGACACTGCCCCATCGTTGGTGCCAGTTAGAAGCAAAGTGACCCATCATTGGTATCAGAGGGAGGAGTAGCGCCTCATCTGTGGTATCAATGAAAGGAATAGTGCGCCATCATTAGAGTCAGTGGGAGGAATAATAGCGCCTCATCATTGGTGTCAATGGGGGGGGGGGGGGGGGGGAGGAGTAGTGGCCCAATGTAAATAAAGCATTTTCATCCACACACAACTACCACTCGTTGGATATTTTCTCTTTTTCGGACCATTCTCTGCAAACCCTGGAGATGCTTGTGTATGAAAATCCCAGTAGATCAGCAGTTTTTGAAACACCCAGACCAGCCCGTCTGGCACCAACAACCATTCCACATACAAAGTCACTTAAATCCCCTTTCTTCCCCATTCCGATGCTCGGTTTGAACTGCAGCAAGTTGTCTTCACCATGTCTAGATGCCTAAATGCATTGAGTTGCTACCATGTGATTGGCTGATTAGCAATTTGTGTTAACGAGCAATTGAACATGTGTACCTAATAAAGTGGCCGGTGAGTGTGTGTGTATGTATATGTATAAGAGCCACAGTGGGTGTGTGAAGTATCTTCCCTCTAATAAACATAGGTAAGCAAGAGTGCTGTTCTGATCACCAGGTTACCCACAAAAGTTAATAGAATGGATTGGTGCACCATACCAACGCAAGGATGAAAAACTGAATGGATTTCAAGGCTTCATTTACAACTGTAGTTCTCATTTAGTAATGTAGAAAAACGAATGCAATTTATTTCTTCAGTTTTCTAAACTTCAGAACATTTTATGGCACCTGAAAAAGTGAATACAAGTGGTTCTACTAAACATTATTGCAAATAAAAATGTACACTTACCACGGTCATCAAGCAGAATATTTTCTGGCTTTAGGTCTCTAAAATAAGAAAATTGGGGAAAACTTTAGGGTCAATGTAATAAAAACACAGTGAGACCAAGTTACAACTTGACTTATAAAAACTCATTAGATGTTAAAAGGTACGCAAGGCCGATTTCCTAAAACAGATTTTAATTTTATTTCTGTCTGTATCCCTGCTGAGAAGACTAACCCTCTGTATTTGTACTGTTAACACTGTCACCAGACAAAGTAATGGTATATCCAAAATTTAAAAGCAGTCACCAGAACAGAATAAAGAGGACATTTTTCAATAGCGACGCTTGTTCTGGTAACAATTAAAAAGGGATTTACCCTCACTTAGGAGAGATTTCCTCTAATTTCTTGTTGGATCTTCAGGACAGGAAAGACACAGAGGTTGTAACCATTTCCTAGTCTAAACAAAAAAAAAAAAAAAAAAAAACTTTGGGTAGACTTTAAATCTGACCCCCCCCCCCCCCTAACTATTCTAATTTTTTAAAATCTACTTAAGACCACCTTTTATTTACCTGAATCCATGGTCAAGGGACAGGCCGGGTCCAAATTCGTCTTTTTTCTGTACTGTAGAGTGGCTGGCTCCTTCGCTTTCTGGGTGGCTATTTCCAATTGCCTATGGCACTTCCAGGGTCCAGAAGACTCCAGCGTGTGATATTAGAATTTTTAGTTTACCAGTAAAATCCTTTTCTTAAATTACATCATGGACACAGAGGACTTCCATGAAAAGGATTTCACACGTAAGCCAAAATTCATAGTTTCTTACTCATATATATTACAGGACACAGAGGATTTCATATTCATGACTACATGGGATGTCCCAGACCTCTGAACACGAGGAGTGAGCAATACAGCAGAAAGGCCAACACATTCAAAACCCAAAAACAGAATTGAGGAACCTGCACTACAAAGCCTCTTGCAAGACCTTTCGCCCTCAAAACTGCCATCTGCAGAGCATGAACATCTACCTGTTAGAAGTTGTAAAGGTGTGAAAAGAAGACTGGGTAGCAGACTTACAAACCTGAACAACAGAAAAAACAGGAACCTTGCCCATGCCTATCTCAAACACTTAAGCATCTATGGTTTGACCCACAAACTTGTCCAGTATGTTAAATCTGGACACCAATAGAACCACATCTGGTGTCCCCAACTGAAGACAAATCTCTGCTCACACCTCAGGGTGAAGGGACCATTCTCTCAGATTCAGCTGCTGATGGCTGAGAAAAATCAGCATGCTAAATTTTCCATGCTGGAAATGTGCATGGTGGAGAAGGCTACAAGTAAAGTTTTGACAAGACAAGAACAGATCTACTTCTTCCTGAACAGCGTGATTTCTTGTCCCTTCTTGATGGCTGATGTATGCCACAACCTCAGCATTGTCTGACTGCATCTTGAGCCTGGGGGACCCCAAACACAGACAGACCATTTATAAGAGCCAGTCAAATAGTCCCAAGTTCCAGCATGTAGATCAGCAACTCTTTCTCCTTTAGGACCATGTTTCCTGAACTGAATGAGTCTCTAGAGTACCTTCCCAGCCCAACAGGTTGGTGCCAGCTGTCAAGACCTTCCATTTCAATGGAAGGAAAGATTTCCTGTTATCTGGGATCTGTGGATATCCATAATTTCAGAGCCAATCTTCTCTTGGTAGTCAGATGCATCAGCAGATGCATGAATTCCTGAAATGTATACCATACCAACAGGATTGTGAGCTGAAGAGCTCTGGAGTGACATTGGGACTAGGGTACCAAATCAAAAACTATACTTCCTCAGCTTTCCATGCAGGCCCAAAATCAAGGGACTTCTCAGCGACCTCAGGGACTTTACCTGGGATTGAAGAGACATTTTTCCTGCAGTAGCTTCTTCTACGCCATATCAAGGACTAAGCCTATGTAGTCCAGTCATTGAGTCAAAACCAAGGTCGTCCTCTGAAGGTTCAGCACCCAACTGAAACTTTCCAGGACCTGTACAGTCTACTGGACTTTCAATTTCAGTTTCTAAGCTGAATGCTCCCCGAGGAGCAGGTTGTCTAGGTACCCCATGATGGTGATATCCCGGGTCCTCAACAACCCAGAACTGGAGCCAAAACCTTGGTAAACACCATGTGGGTCAGGAAATGTCAAAGTATAATGCCACAAACTGAAACTACAGAAATCAGTAGTGAGGCAGTAAGGCATTCTTGATATCCTCAGACGCCAGGAAGTCCCCCAATGAAGTGAAGCAATCAATGATCAGGTGGATTGCATCCTGAATTTATGAACATTGAGGAACTTGTTGAGACCATTTAATTGCAGAATAGGCTTGATATCTCAATTTTCGTGGGAACTGTAAAATGGTTTCAATAGAAGACGTGAGATTACACCCCCCCCAACCCCTCAGTATGGGTGCAGCGACAACAGTGGGACACCAGACTTTCCAGGACTGCAACGAAAACTGCTCTTTTTTGTGGATCAGAAGATACCTTGAGTGCATAGAGCATAAAGGGGAGAAGCAGCGAAACTCCAGTTTGTAGTTTCTGGACACCACACTGCAGACCTAGTGTGTCCATTCAGTGACCATTCTCTGTAAACCCTAGAGATGGTTGTGTGTGAAAATCCCAGTAGATCAGCAGAGCAGTTTTTTTAAATACTCAGACCAGCCCGTCTGGCACCAACAACCATGCCACGTTCAAAGTTACTTAAATCCCCTTTCTTCCCCATTCTGATGTTCGATTTGGACTTCAGCAAGTAGTCTTAACCCTGTTTAGATGCTTAAATGCTTTGAGTTGCTGCCATGCGATTGGCTGATTAGCAATTTGTGTTATCTAGCAATTGAACAGGTGTACCTAATAAAGTGGCCAGTGAATGTAGATGTTCTGGCCGACACTCCTCTCAAGTGGGGTTGGCTCCCAATCCCTCAATCAGGTAGGGAGGACCTATCTGCACAGTTCACCCTGTGATGCCTCTCCTGATGGATTAGATTCGTCCTCTGAGTCCTTCCCCTTTTCTGGTATTACCACTGTTTCAAGAGCACAATGCGTCACTTTCTTTGCGTCAAAGGAGCAATATTCTGCAACCATTTTTGGGTTGTGTGATCAACTCTCAGGGGTTCTCACTGGTCTGGAATGTTTGGAATACACTGCCAAAGAGCTGTGCTCATGGGTGTCATATAGAGATTGTAATCTCCTAGATTGTAAGCTCGAAACAGCAGGGCCCTCAAACCCCTCGTGTATTGTTTTGTTACTGTATTGTCTCATGTTCTGTCCCCCACTATAATGTACAGCGCTGAGCAAACCTTTCTGGCGCTAAATACTGTATAATATAATAATAATAATAATAATAATAGAGGAGGAGGAATTATACAATAAAAAAGGGTCCTCCGGCTGTTTAAATAAGACCCTGATGGTCGCCATGGTGAGGTACTGGTCATTAAAGGTGCTGTGCATAAAAGGCTACAGGATCTCTGTAAGGCAACCTTCTCTCTGGTGAGAGTGACTATGCAGCCTGCGGTGGCTGCAGTGGGAGTTGACCAAAGCCCTTAAAGTCTGGGCAACACATATACTCTATTCCAGAGAATCAGACCCAGAGGCAGTTTTCTCTGTAGATGCCTAGGAAGATTCCATATGCCAGCTTTGAAGAGTGGGAACATTGTCCACAGACATGCACAACCATCTCTAGGGTTTACAGAAAATGGTCCAAAAAAGAGAAAATATCCAGTGAGTAGCAGTTGTGTGGATGAAAATGCCTTGTTGATGTCAGAGGTCTGAGGACAATGGGCAGACTGGTTTGAGATGATAGCAAGGCAACAGTAACTCATGTCAATCTCTAAATGTTTTCAACACCTTGTTGAATTTATGCCAGGAAGAATTAAGGCAGTCCTGAAGGAAAAAAAGTGGGTCCAACCCGGTACTAGCAAGGTGTACCTAATAAAGTGTTGAGACTTGGTGAGTGTACAGTATGTAGGCAAGTCAAACCAAGAAAGACAAGTGTCCCAATATTTGCTGTGCCTGGCATCTAATGAAAAGGCTGTGCAGAGCTGTGGCAGTAACCAAATTTTAAGTTGTGAACTTATGCAGGGCATAACAGGAGCTCTGATATTGCATGTGTTTCTGCTCCTGACAACCAGTAAAGGGCACCTGGTAAGGACCGCCCTATTGAGTTCTGCCACTACTGTGTTGCAGGATCAGAAGGTGTAATCTTCACTCTTAACAGCAGCCCACCCTGCAGGGTACTGGATCCAGTGTCTGCAGGATCCAGTTCCAGCCAGCAACATTACAGACCACCCACACTCTTGCATGCAAAGTCCAAGTACAGTCCCTCTTGACCATCAGGCTGTAGCAACCAATCCAGTTGAAGTCCTCCTCTACCCCAGCAGAGGTGTTGGGAATAATCCAGGAAATTATAACTTAACCCTTGACAGGAGATCTTCAGAGAGACCGCTGTAGGCACTTCCATCACCTAAAGATACTAGATAAACACTGAGGCTTAGCTGAGCTGGGAGTGGTTATACCTTGGCAGAGTTTCTTGCCTTTGTTGGTCAATGTGCATTCACTTGAAGGTGGCAGCATAACCCAAGTAATCATGAATATAAAGACCTCTGTCCTGTAAAGTACAATAAAGAAAACATTGTGACAAGGCACAGCAACAAGACCAGTTGGCAGTGGGCCCTGACTGCAGCAGTGGATCACCAGTCTTTACTTCTGGAGGAAGAGCTTGGAGGATCATACAATGACTCAAGTGAGTAAAAATTTTATTTTTATATTTTATTTGATTTGAGATCAGATTGGGTGGGTGGGATAAAGACAGTGAGGATTTGGTTTGCCTAAATATGGTCTTATAGGGGGGTGGTGCACATTGCAAAGAATTAAAAGGAGACAAAAGTTCAAGTCTTAGTAGAAATACCAGTGTTTCTGGTACGGATAAGCAAAGGGTAAAAAAAGGGTTGAGAAAATTCTATATCGGGTATTCTCCAGTACTGGTCATGTGACCCAAAACCTAGCCATTTAGTCATGTGATCTCTGCTGATGGGGAGGATCAGCCCTTCTGATATTCCTTCTCTTTACCAAAATGGCTCATAACCACAGCATACAGGAATACATAATAAATCAAACAGCTAATTTAATGGTTTACACACACACACACACACAATTCTCTTACCTGTAAACTATTCTCTCCCTCTGTAGATCCTCCAATCCACAGCACAGTTCTGCAGCATAGAACACAGCTCTCTGCTCATCAAAGCCTGGGTTCCCCATGTTGTATATGTGAAACTTCAGGTCTCCGCCATTCATAATAGTTAACACTAAGCAAAGGGCGTCCTTTGTTTCATAGGTGTAGGCTAAACTAACCTAAGGACCCAAAGGGATATGGTTTAAATCACAACGTCAGCTTATGACAATAGATAACACTAGATAAAATAGATAACACATATCACCCGAGCAGGATTTACAATTGCAATACATTGAATTTCCAGAACAAAGATGAACTTCAACAAAGAGCTAAACACACAAATTAAATACATATAAGAGAACTGGTTTTACCTGCCAAAGGAATTGTATTTACATCCATCCAGTATGGAGATTTACAAAACCCTACAAGATAAGACAGCTAGGGTAGTGTCCACAGTTTCCCCTACTGCAGTTATGCAATACAACATAGTCACCTATCCACCTCAGTGACTGGACAATGAAGAAGCAGCAGACCAATGAAGTCATCCCTCTGCTCACTCTGCTCTCTCTTCCGGTCAGCATGTTATTTATCAGCACATGTGCAGGCAGCAGAATCTGAGTGGCACAGAGTATGGCCATGCCCTCTTTTAGTCTACTGCACAGGGAATTAGCTGATGTCAAGGCTGATGTCAAGATGTCAAATACCCAGGTACTTACACTAGTTAAATTTAAAATACATTTAATTAATTTTTTAACTTTTCATTCAGATGTGTTTTAGATATTCCTGATAATAAACACACCAAAGCCAGATATATTAATTTTTAAAGTCTTACAAATATCGCTACCATTTTTTTAAAATTTTTTCAACTAAGCAAAAGCATCAAGACTTTAAATGGGAAATGAAAAACACAAGAGAACCCAAGGATAAGGAGGGCCAGTTAGTCCTTCTAGTAACCATACAGTAGTGGGAAGTGCAGTGTGTGCAGGGATATTAACATGTATAGTTAAAAAAAACAACAACAATGGTTTACATCAGGGGTCTCCAAACATTCTAAACAAAGGTCAGGTTTACTGTTCCTCAGACTTTAGGGGGGCCAGACTTTGGCCAGTGAGTAGAAAATGCCACAGCAAGTGGGTGGGGGGGGGGTAAACATTGGGGGAGAATTACTAAAACTGGAGCACTCAGAATCTGGTACAGCTGTGCATTGTAGCCAATCTGCTTCTAACTTCAGCTTTTTTCAATTATACCTTGACAATAAAACCTGGAAGCTGGCTGGGTTCTATGCAGAGCTGCACCAGATTTTGCACTCTCCAGTTTTAGTAAATCTCCCACAATGTCTCAGTTGAAGTAAAAAGATTACACAGCCCTAGTGGTCAGTAGGAGAAAAAGGTGAACCATCATTGGTATTAGTGGAAGGAATAGTACCCAATAATTTATACCAGTGGAAAGATTTTAGCCCTGTCGGTGTCACTGGGAGAAATTATGCCACATTGTTGATGTCAGTGGTAGCAATAATGTCCCATTGTTGGTGTCAATGGAAGCAATAATGCCCCATTTTGGTGTTAGTCGGAAGAATAGTTCCCCATTGTTGGTATGTAAGGTAAATCAAAGTTCATTTAAAAATGTATTACATAATGTTTTCTTGGTCTAAAGAACGGTGCACTGCTCATGATCTTTAAGCACAATCAATAATGACCAGCATTCCATGGTTCCTCTCATCTCCAAAGTGGCTGGACATCTCCTCGTGCATAATTGTTGGTGTTATTGGGAAGAATAATGCCCCATTGTTGGTATCATTGAAAGGAATAATTCACCATTGTTGGTGTCAATGGAAAGACTGTCCATTGTTGGTGTCAGTGGAAGGAATAATGCCCCATTGTTGGTGTCAGCGGACAGAATAATAATATTCCGTTGTTGGTGCCAGTGGGAGAAATTATGCCCGTTGGTTGGTATCAGTGGCAGGAATGGTGCCTCATCGTTGGAGTCAGTGGAAGGAATGGTGCCTCAATGATGGTGTCAATGGGAGGAATGATACTTTGTTGTTCGTGTCAGTGGGAGGAATGGTTCCTCATTGTGGGTGTCAGTGGGAGGAATGGTTCCTCATTGTGGGTGTCAGTGGGAGGAATGGTTCCTCATTGTGGGTGTCAGTGGAGGAATGGTTCCTCATTGTGGGTGTCAGTGGGAGGAATGGTTCCTCATTGTGGGTGTCAGTGGGAGGAATAGTTCCTCACATCAGTGGGAGGAACAGTGCCTCAAGGGCCAGATAAATGCAAACCAAGGTCTGCATCGAGCCTGTGGGCCTTAATTTAAAGACCACTGAGATTCATTATTGGAGTCTGCTGATTTCTAATTGTGTATATAAGTGCACTTTGCACACCCTCTTTGACTAGTTGAATGCTGCTACCACAATATATCACAGCTGGCAATTCAAAATTGAGATCAGGGCTTCCCCATGATTTGCAATACCATGACTGTTTAAAATAAAACTCCAGATATTTTTTTTTAAGTTTGGGATAGAGTGGAGAAGAGTTAGAACCTCACCTGTGTGGATATAAATATTTGGGGTATTTTGCTGACACTCATGAGAACTGAAGAAGTAGCTTGGACAAGCTACAAAATGTCTTCATCATTTTCAAATAAGGCCAGTTGAATGTGACCAACTACTACTGGACAACCCTTCCCAATAGTCCTCTTACTTCTATTAACCCTGAAGCAAATGGTTCAAGAGCAGTAAAAATGAAGGAACAATATTATACACACACACACACTCGCATATAAAAGGATATTTAGGAAAGCATGTTACATGGCTCTGCGAGAAGCATGGCAGGTGAAATGGAGATCCTTGCTCAGAAAGATACATTTTCCTCCTAACACAGGCACGTTGTTGCAGCAATGACAAAATGCTCATTATGAGCTAAATTAAATTAACATTCCAGATGGTTTTCTCTCTGTGAAAGGCCCATTCTTGAAGCTGCAGAGGCAGCATTCAGCAGCGTCATCAGCTTTCAGTGGAGTGGACATTGTCGGCTGTAGGACCCGACCACGTCAGCAGATTTTTGTGTGAAGCTGTAGCAGTGTCACTTCAAAAGCTGCCATCAGGGATACTGTGGACTCCGCCACCCAGAGACTGAAGCACAAAGATCTTTCTGTTCCGTGTGCAGAGCTACATTTATAAAAGTCAACTTTATCACTTGGACTATATAATGAATGCAGGGTCCGGGGTTTAGGAACACTTTAAAATGTTGACAATTACTTTTAAAATGACATTAAAATGTTAAAGCCTATACAAGATTTTAGTGGCTGTTTGTTTTGGATACAGAAGTGTTGGATACTGCTGGACTGAAGCACCCACAAGCTGCTTAGATTTCTCTGGAGATTTAGGATCTGTACCACAGCCAAAACATTTTTTTGGTTTAGATACACTTTAAAAAAAACATTGCCATTTTGCAGATAGGGGGGTCATGGTAGTGGGTGCCCTTTGCAGAGACACTGTCACTTTGCATGGAAATCTGTACCTTTAAGGAGAGCCTTACATTAGTACACAGTGGCCACGGTTGATTTCTCCTTTGGAAAATGCTTGTTTTCCGGCTGTCAGCCATTAGCTTCTAGGCTTTCTGAGTCATTGACCAGGAGCAAGACTAGCAATGACCTCATTATGCCTTCAATGACTGTGTGCTTGTTCATGGTCAATGATTAAAGTAGAACTATAGGCAAAACTTTTTTTTTTTCATTTTGGATAGAGTAAGGGAGGGTTATAACCCTTGTTAGTTTTTTTTTCACCATCTCTGTCCTATTGCCAAGATTTCCCATCACCTCCTGTCCTATAGCCAAAAAGTAAGAGGAAATCCCTGCAAATCAAGGGAATTCCTTGGGGACCCCCAGGTCACCAGATCTAGTGTACCCATTGGAAGATTTCCTCTCTATTACTTTTCTGGGGACAACCAACATTTGGGATTTGCTTTTACTTTCAAAGATAATAGTAAACAGGAGAAATAGGGTGAATCTCCTTAACGGAGCACATACTGCAATAAAACCTGACAGGTGCTCTAATCCAGCGCCACGCTATCAAAAAGTGAAAACATTTTTTGTATTTAGTTATACTTTAAGAAAGGATTAAAACAAGGTGCAGCCAGACAATTAGCATTTTTTCAGTAAAAGGTCAGTAATGCTGAAGTGCAAATGTGCATAAGGTCTGTAATGCTGAAGTGCAAAAGTGCATAGTCAAAGATTCAGCTCAGTGAGTTATCCGCTGATTGACTGAGGGTTCCATCTGTGGTTTCAGTTAGACAAAGCAAAACTAAAGGCAGGCAGCCACTGCTGTGCGGTCTCTTTTTAAACCCATGATGACCTGGGAATCCTGTTTACTTGCATTTTTTTAATTGTTTAAATGTTTAAATGATGAATTTTAGTCATCTACATTTACAATATTTATTATATATATATAAAAAAAAAAAAAAGACTGCATACATATATTATTAAAAAATGTTTCAAAAGTATATAAAACTGTTTAAAAACTATTAAAAATAAAACTGACTGCTATTGAAAACAACCCTATTTTTGTTGTCTCTTATTTAAAAAGAAATCTGCCACACCAAAGCAATGCAAAAATGTTCTGGGTGTACTGTGATGACACTGTACATGTGAAATTCCCATGTTGCCATTCAAAATTTCAGCTACATTCCACACTATAAATTCTCCCTGGGAGTGTATCGTGTCATAATTCAACATTCCCCATATGGCAAGTAGCACAGTTACAGCAAGCAGAAAATGTATAAAGTGGATTACATTTCCTGTGTGCTAGGTCACAATTCTCTCGAGTCCAATACAGGTTTTAATGCTTTCTATATTTTTACCACTAGAGGTCACACTCTGTTTCAGAATAGCTAACAAGGCGGAAAAAAAAATTTAAGTTGGAAAAAAGTGTTTTATTTTTGTATGTAAGGTAAATCAAAGTTCGTTTAAAAATGTATTACATAATGTTTTCTTGGTCTAAAGAACGGTGCACTGCTCATGAATCTTTAAGCACAATCAATAATGACCAGCATTCCATGGTTCCTCTTATCTCCAAAGTGGCTGGACATGACCTCGTGCATAATTTATGTGTCTCACTTACATTTTTTTTTTGAGACAGATTCCGACACCATAGCAGAATCCAGAGGTGACCTGCTAACAATATGCC